GCAGCATGTGGCGTACCTGACTGTTTATCCAGGGCTTCTGGTTGGGAAACCTCCGAACTTGTATGGTGGGCACAATGTTGTCAATACAGGTACTAATGTACCTGGTCACATACTCGGCCTAATCCTGTATGCTGACAGAAAAGTCCTCCAAGGTGGCTGCAGCTTTAAACACATCCCAGTTTGTCTGGGCGAAACAGTCCTGCAGGATGCCTTCAGTCTCTGGGGTCCAGAGTTTAATTTGTTTAGTGACAGGGGTTGGTTGGTTTAGTCTCTGTAAGCTGGATACAGGAACAAAGAAATGTGGTCTGAGCGTCCAAGGTGGGGGCGGGGGGCGGCCCTGTATGCACCACGTATGTTACTGTAAACATGATCCAGAGTGTTCTTGCCCCGGGTGGGAACGTTCACATGTTGGTAATATTTGGGGAGTACAGTATTTAAATTGCACTGGTTAAAGTCACCTGCAGCGATAAATACAGCATCAGGGTGCATTGTCTCTAGCGCGCTGATGACATGAGAAGGTTTATATATAAATATATGTATATGAATGCTTAGTGAGTAATAAAACAGCTATTGTTTTTTAGTGACATATGGGAGTTCTTTGTTCAGTTTTCTTCATACTGTGGTCCCCATTTGTAAGCCTATAATTACTGGACAATCTGCTTACAACATCATTTAGGCTACTGCAAATGTGCAAGTGGGAAGGCAGGTTTTAACAATGGAGTTCTTTCTCTCTTACATCTAGATGTGCTATCTCAGTGGGAACTGCATGTGCTGTTCATCCAAGAGGCTTTCTTGATTCTGTTGGGCGGTGGTGAGTGGATCCTGCATTTAAACCTCTGTTGATTATGTTGCTGATGACATTAGCTTAAGCGTGCATTTTAGCATACACCAGTGCATTGGATAATTGAATAATTGAATAATTTACCTAATTTTGCCACAAACCATCTAATAGTTGTTGAGATGTTTCACCCAAAACTACAGATGTCAATCTTACACAGGTGCTACGGTGTTGAAAAATTCACAGACTATAATATAAGAACCATAAATATTTGTACATAAATTTCATATCAATGCATCTCAAAGTTGACTGAAACCTTGTCTGAAACCTGAAGACATTTCAGTCCGAACAAAAGTGATCGATCAAACAACCGCTCAATCAACCAACAGATCAACAGTGACCAACACTGACACATCAGGATCTTCTTCATCTAACTGTTGTTTACTGACAGGTTTTAATGGAATTTAAAGGTTCACATCTGCAGTCCAAGTCTTTATAGTCTCAATACAAAGGCTGATACGGTATCTACACAAAGTTCCCAGCTTTAAGTACAGTACACCTAATTAAAAGTAATCCAAATCAATAAACCAGGGCTGTAACACATCTTGTCTTAATAGAGGTTGTCTTAATAGTATGTGAGAAAACTATGTCCGAGAGGTACTGATTATGGGAGCTTGTGGTGTTGTGAAATTGTACTATATCATACATATCTGTTTTGACTCAAATAGGGGACAAAATAATGAAAACATTTTCCAGTACGTTTTGTAGTACACACTGTAGACAGAAAAAACAAACAGTTGAGAGGAATGAAGGAGGCCATCTACAGTATGTCAAATTGGGACAGTAGTTTGCCTCAAAAGAGGAAGTAGGCTGCAACAGCACTTAGAGGTGCTTATAGTGCCATCCTGACATACTGTAGCTTCCTGGACAGTTTCACACCTATTTTCATCTCAGTTCTGTTGGTTTATTTACACTGGAAGCAAATAAAATAAATCCGCAGACTTGTCACTTAGAAATAAGTCTTGAATAAGAATCTAAATGCCTTCAGATTACTTGTTGGCAATCTCTTACTTTCCTTTCTCCTCCCTCTTTCTCTCTCTCCCCCCTTGCATGTGGAACACAGATTGGAGCATTGTATGGCATGTGGTACAGGGAATGAGTCAGACTGCCCACCAGCTGTGAGCCTGCCTTGACACTAAAAAGAACTAAAGATATTTTATGCAGGGCTGGCATCAGCCAACAACATTTGTGTGGGTGATTTACGGGGTCATTAGGATGAAGGCCAGCAACAAACTATGGAAATTCACTTGACATATGGCTTAAAGAGAAGTATAGAAATGATCATTATAATCCTCCCAGCTGGACACCAGCATATGCTACAAATCAGCAGCAAGTGATTCTGGAAATTAACCCTGCTCTGACCTTTGGATAAAGGGTAGAAGAAAAACATTGTCACTTGAGATTTCACTGGTTCCAGTGTTGGTTGCTGTGTTGTTTCTTATGGGGCGCGGAATGTAAAAATAGCACTTACACTAGTTTTCTCACATTTAGCTGAATGTGACAACAAGTTTTCTCACATTTAGCTGAATGTGACAACAAGTTTTCTCACATTTAGCTAAATGTGACAAAGTCTAAATGTAAATGTTAAACATAAATGTTAAAGGTAAATGTCTCGCCAAGTGTAAAACTGAATATTTAGTAGCTCCACAGCTTTGCCCTATTACAGCGCAGCACACAGCCCCGCCCATGATGCTGATCTCGAATCAGTGATGATGACTCAAAGACCTCAAACACAGCCCCGCCCACACCTGACTGTGTTACATTTACATTTAAAATTTCCATTTAGACTTTGTCACATTTAGCTAAATGTGAGAAAACTAGTTGTAAGTGCTATTTTTATATTCGGCGCCCCATAGTTTCTAGACTATGCGGGCTTTAGAAGTTCATGTAACCTATTTACACACTTATAAAACTTGGCCAGTTTTAAAGGCCGATTTAGTTGTTTAATGGAGTAGCCTACATATTAAATGTAGTACCTCTGACCTTTTTACTCCCAAAACTGACAAAAACATAACTAAATGATGCGTAAACATGCGATATAAAAATAATTTGGGTTTCCTGCTTCAGGCACATGGACCATTTGCGTGGTGGCAGCGACCAGACGATGAAAACCAATTATCTAATCAGCAGTGTTAGAGAAGGGGTTGTCCTTGGCACGGCATTTTGTCAATTAGAGAGGTAACACCTGAATTTGTCCCCCTACTTAGAGCGAGGTGTACTTGTGTCTTCACAAAAAAACTCCTGCCACTGTTGTTTGTTTGTTTGAAAAGCAGAAACAGAACTATGCACGCCTTAGTGAACGCCTTTATGCGTTGCCTCTCCTTTCTCTTGCCTCCCTCTTGGCTTTGTGTCAGCTTTTGCTTGTGGGTTGGGAATGAGTGCGAAGAGACGCTGTCGCGGCCCAATCCCAGAGCTCGTTTCAGAAGCAGAAAGCCTCTTACATATGAGGAAGTAGCAGCAGTACTAGAAACGCAGGCAGGCTCCTGC